CTCCTCTCCCTCCTCCCTCCACCTCCTCCTCCCCCCTCCTCCTCCTCCCCCCTCCTCCTCCTCTCCCTCCTCCTCCTATCTCTCTCCCTCGGCCCAGGTCACGGCCTGACCTTATCAATCACCCATTATTCAGGGGGTGGCTGGGCAGGCAGGGAGCTATTTTCCTTGGGGTTCTGGAATAACAGCATCTGAACAGCAGAGGAAATCACTCTCAGTTGTCTGGGGAGGAGAACTCAGAGAGGAGAGGCCCCAGGGATGTTTTCTGTGGGAGGTGGCCTGTTGTACAGATGGAGGGGTACGCTGGCCCTAGGAGAAAGGTGGTTCTCGGCCAGGGACAGATCTCTCTCCAAGAATGCTCCTTCTGACTGGACCCTGGTGTCCCTGCCACAGAGGCCAGTCACGGACTAGAGCCGGCACGCTCCCACCCCACACGGGCCCTTGGAGACTGCCCACCCCATGCCAGGCACTCTAGGGGACGGATAAGAGAAAGAGAAGGACATGACTCCAGATAAGGACAAGGCCGGCCTGGGACAGAACGCTTTGTCTAGCCCTTGTATGGAACGCACTAGAATGGAGTGTTGGCTGCACGGTGTCTGAGGTTTCTCAGTGGTTCAGGGGAGACACCGTTCCACCTGGTAGCCAGCCTTCTTGCCCGAGGGCCAGGGGCTGTGGACTTGTGGCCACTAAGCGGAGAAACCCTGGGCTCCCTGGGCCTCCGTTTCCCCACCTGAATTGCAATCTGGATCTGCGGGGCGGGGCTGGGGCGGGCTGACATGGGCTCTGGGGACACGGCGGTGGACGTGCTCCGGAAATGCACAGGGGACCCTGAGCTGGTCTCCACCGGCTGGAGAGAAGAGAGGTCTGGGCCCCGGGGTGGGAGCAGCTCAGCCTGGAACCCTAGGGCACGGGTGCCCCAACCTGACACGCATGGGCAGGGCCGGGCAGGGAATAGCCAGGTAAGGAACATCCAGGTGGGGTCCGGACAATGTCCAGGCAGGGGCTGCATGGGTGCCTTGGTCCCCGGGTCCCTGCCTGATGCCCAGTGACACCTGCAGGCACCCCCAACCTTGACAGAGGTGCCCTCCCTCTGGAAGCCCCAGAGACTTCTCAGCCCCACAGAGACCACCTTCAGGGGCACCCCGGGGGCTGGACCCCAGTTGCCCAAGGCTGCATTTGTGTCATTTTGGGTTCGAGCCCAGCCTCCTGGCCCCTCCTTTGTGCACACGCCCTGTCAGCACCTCGGGGAGAGCCATGAGCAGCTCTGGGCCTGGACATGGCCTCTGATCCACACTTGACCTTGACAGAACTGGACATATGATTAGGAAAAGTCTCTGCAAGGATCCCCAGAGGCTCCACTGTTTTGTGGTTGAGGAGGCTGGGGTTCCCGCTGTTCCCGCTTCTCAGGTGAGGATCTACCTGCTCGAGTGTCCTCTGTTCTCTGGGAAGCCTTCCCTCCCATCCCCTCCCCACCCCCACCCCACCCCCACCCCAGGCTCAGCTGAGCTGTCTTCTGCCTCCCACTGTCCCCAGCCTCGGGCTGTGGGCTCCCCAGGTCAACGGTGGTATCTGTCTCCTTGCAGCCAAGGAGAAGCCATGACCTTGAGCATCTGGGGAGGGCAAGACTGAGAGACTGAGCGGGGGGCCCTGTGTACCCCCTGACCCACCAGGGGCTTCGCGGGGCTAGAAACCCCCAGCACCAGAGCTCCCCAGTGGGTGTGGGGGGTTCCTAGGAAGCACGGGTATGGGGAAGAAGCCCCGTCCCCAGCAGCTGCTCTCCCCTGCCCTCCTCCCCTTCCCTGGGGTCTTGGCCTTGCCCTGCCCCAGCTGGGGGTTTGTGCTCACTAGAAAGAACTAGAAAGCAATGTGTCTCCAGGCCCTGGCACAAGGCTGCCTTTGTGTATATTCAGGGGCTCCCGCCCCCCCCCCCCCCCCCACCAGCTCAGAGCCTAGCCGGGACAGGGGCTTGGGGACCTCCAAGCTTCTGGGAACTCAGGGAGACCCAGGTGGATGCTCACTCCTGAAGGCAAGACGCCCAGGGGGGCTGCTAGCCCAGTGGTTAGCTGGAGGGGAGGCAGGGGCTGGCCAGGCCTGGAGGGGACTGTACTGTCACCAAGGCCCAAAGAGGCAGCGTGGCCAGTTGAGAGTTCTACTTCTCACTAGCTGTGTGACTCTGAGAAACTCACGGGGCCTCTCTGAGATGGTTTCCTCCATCAAATGGGAATGCGGAAGTGCCCGCGCCAGGGCTGCTTTGAAGATGAGGTGGAGAGTGCCAGCGGCACAAAGCCCGGCCCAGGGGACAAGTCCAACAGAAGTCCGCCCTCCTCTCAGGGCTCAATCCTGGTGGTAGCCTCCAAGCCCCGCCCCTTAGTCTCCCACGCAGCCAGCGCCTTCCCCCAACCTTCGAGAGAAGCACAGGCTCCCGCCCCCTCCCCGGGGGAGAGCCGGGCTCCTCAAGTTGCCTGGGAGTCTGGAGAGAAGTGCCCCCCCCCAGCCCCCGCCCCGCCCCTGGCAGCAGGCTGGCACCTGGCCGGGCGCGTCTCCGTAGCTGCTCCCCAGAGACACGGGGGCTGCACAGGGGAGGCTGGGCCGAGCACAAGCCGCACGCCAGGCCCGTGGGGGCTCAGGAGGCCTGCCAGGCAGTGCCCTGGGCAGTGCAGGGTCCCGTGGGGCGGCTCCTCCCGGTGCCCGCTGACGGAAACGGTGCCAGGAGACCCCTCTGGCCAGCGATGCTGGGCCTGGGAGAGGAGCAGCTTGTCTGATGGCAGCAGGCGCCCCACGGCGGAGGCGACCGGCATTTGCTCCGCAGGGAGCCAGGCGGCCCTGGGCGCCCAAGGAACCCGCCCTCCTTACGCCTCTTCGCGTCTCTTCCAAAGGGCATGGCGACCTCCGCCTTGACCCTGCCCCTGTCCTCCCACCAGGCCCGTCCCCCGCCCAGGAAAGCCAGGCCAGAGGAAATCTGGGGGAGGGGGGCCCCAGGCCTCCCCTTCCACCTCTTGCCTGGTTCCGTCCTCACCCGTCCAGGGGTCCAAACACCACCTCACACACTACCGCTTGCTCCCCGAAACCCACGCCTCGGCTGACCACGGGGAGGACGCCAGGTGGGCCCGGACTGAAGCTCATTCTACAGAGATACGCCAGCCACAAAGGCTTCCACCAAAGCCCCGGGCCGGGGGTTGGGGTGCTCTGGGGACCGGGGCTGCTCTGAGGAGCCCCGGGGGACTCAAGCCCGGGAAGACCCGCCCCTCCGCGGGCCGCTCTTTGCCCCCCAGAGGTGACACCGGACAGGGACAAACGACAACAGTGGACCACCCCACGGACAGCGCAGAACTCAGGGGACGGCGACCCTCCGTGCCAGGCACTGGCTGTGTCCGTGTTCGTTCAGCTTGTGCTTTGCCACGGTGTTGTCATGAGCCATTAAAAACAAGCACGCCCTGTGTTACTACCGTTTTGATGACTCTTCGGGGTAAATGGTAACTCTGCCTCCCTCAAAGTGCAATTATCTGAGGGTCAAAGTCTTTAAAAGGGCACATGACTCTCCAAGCCTCCGCACGGACTCTGCTGGCTGCCACCCACCGGCCTCGCCGCAGGCCACAGGGGCTCCACCGGGTCCCAGCGGCCCGGCAGCCCGGCCCCAGGGGAGGCCCCACCGCCTCCCGCCGCGGCCCTCCCAACCACCCCCTGCCTTCCCTCGCGCTCGGCCCCGACGCGGCCACGAGGGAAGGGTGTGCTGGGCCCCCGGCTCGCCTCTGCCTCTGCCCGCAGCCCACAGCCTCCCGGCCGCTCACCTGAGCAATCCAGCTGGGCACCCCTCGCCTCCTCCAGGGACGAGAGCGGGAGAGCATGGCCGAGGGACTCTTTGGAGAGCGCCTGCCCATCACTCGGAGAGCTAGAGGGGAGGGGAGAAACAACGTGAGACCCTCGGGGCCTGGCCCGGCTCTCCGGTGCCAGCCCCGCACCCACGTCGGCACCTGGGGGTGCCGCCGGCCTCTCTCCGCCTCGTGGGCTGCTCTGCGTCCTCGTGGGGGTCAGGGAACAGGACCTCAGTAGCTGTAGGACCACCCTCAGCCCACCCAGCCTGTCCCAGAGGCTCCGAGGGCTGCTGCACACTCCTCTGTTGCATGGCTCTCTCTGGACTCGGTGTCCCCGTCCGGACAGGACTCCGAGCACGACTCCAGCGGGGGCCCCCCTCCTCACCCCACACCCACCAGGCCTCAGGCATTGAAAACAGTCACGCTTAGAAGCTCAGAGCAGAGCTGAGGATGGTGCCAGGGCTCCCACGGGCCTCTCCTCCCCGGGAGGGCGTGTGGGGTGCCCTATGCCTTCCCCAGTGGAGAGGACAGGCGTGGGCTAGAGAGCTCCGGCCCACATCCTCCTCGCTTCCCAGGCATGGTGGCCCTGGACAATGATCTCCCTTCCAGCCAGAGAGCCCAAGGGGTTATAGGGCCTCCGTTGTCAACCTATTGATCCACAGCAGCATTCTTCCTCAGGGTTCAACCGGCCAGACCTCGACCGCCTGGGTGATGAGCAGACGGAGGTCAGTGCACACCTCAGCCAGGCAGGGATGTAACCCCACACAACTCCAGGGACACATTTCACAGTCATCGGCTGTGCAAACAGAGCCTACTGGAGTTGTGCAGCCTGCAGCCTGCGCAACTGGTCACGGCAGCCCTGAGGACAGGACCCTGGCTCCCATCAGGGTGGGGCTAGCCCCACCCCCACCCAGTTCCCAGGCTGTCAGGCCAGTTACCTGTTTGTCACACTCGGTCTTACTTCTTGCTGGTACTGCAGGTTCAAACTAAGTTTGCGAACACACCCAGGCCCACCTGGAGGCAGTCTGCTTAAGAACCTGATAGGTTTTAAATCGAAAGACATCAGGAGGTTGTGAAGGGAGGAGCGTAGGGACAAGGGGGCTGAGTGGGGGCTGAGTTGGTCACCCTTCTTGTGTGTGAGCAAGGTGGCCTGTCCCAGGGAAGCCACCGGAGGGGTAAAAGGATACAATTTCTGGGGTGGGGCTTCCACACCAGGCGGAGGGTTCTGAGCTTGGAGCTTGTCCAGCCGACTGTGGGTCATTGGTCACCACCATTACGCTGGGGTCGCAGAGGGGCCCCACCACATTATACTGATACAAACAGCCCTGAGCTCTGGGCGCAGCCACGAATGAGGGTCCCCCACCGGGAGCCCCAACGCGGCTACCACAAACTTGGTGCAATGTCCATGCTGTCCCGGCCACGTCCCGAAGACGAGCGAGTCTTCCAGAGGGTTGGCCTTTGACAGCACCCGCTGGGCAGCTCACCCTTGGACGGGCCAGGGCCGCCACTGGCTGTGATCGCTCGCCATCCGAGCCACCTCCTCACAGACAAGTCTGGAAACCCTCGCCATCAAAAGGCACAGACATTTCCCCCGCTAATGAAATCTGTATAAACTGGTTCTGGATTTAAAACAGCGAAACCCAGACTACAGGAAAAGACGGCCGCCTAAGGAAGCCGCGAGCCAAACATACTCATCATGACTAGAGCCTTCTGTGTGCTGGGGACCTTGGCCAGTCTCTCGTGACTCAGATGTGCTGACGTCCACTCCCCCATCCTGCTCTGTCCTTCCCTCGGTGACAGGGTGGAGTGGGTCCCCTGCCTCTGCCTGCCGTGACAGGGGACACCTTGCTCACGGCCCACGTCGGGCAAGAGGTTCCTACTCAACCCCTAAGCCCTGTGCCCGAAGGATACCGGATGCCTAATTAAGAGAAGGCCAAATTCCAGTTTTCCAAGTGAGGAAAGCACGCTCTTCCCCTCACCAGAGCCCTTGAGATCCCATCTGTTTCCGGGGATGTCACCCTCGCCCGCCGACTGAGCCCGACCTTCCCATAACGTTCCTGCTCACTCGGGGCCATAACTAGTAACTGGTGTCCTGTCCACTCAGAACGCGCCTGGGAAGGGAGCCACGCCCTGTCGCGCTGGGGTCTGCGCCCTCCCGCGTGGCCGCAGCCCCCATATCAGCGTTGGGGACACCGCTGCTGTATCATCGCGCACCCTCCCTGCGTTCCTGTGGGGGCGGCCGCTCACCTGGGGCACCCTGGGGTGCATCATAGCGAAGCCGGACCACCCAGCCTGCTGTCCCCAGACTGTAAGCCAGAGGCACAGCTTCCAGAGTGGGATTTGTCATCCCCAAAAGAGGGCACGTGACATGCGAAGCGTCCCCACTGCTCTGACCCCTCACACGCACCTGGGCCCTTCCGACTCCTGCGCTCTGGACAGCGTGGCACCGCGATCCACTCAGGGACCCTCAGGTGAGGTGCGGCCACCGTGATCAGCGCCCCGGCCCGACGCAGGTGGTTAGCACGGTGTTCCCGGCCTTCTGGAACACCACACTCCTGCCCTCACACACCCCATAAGCACCTACCCCTCTTCTTACACAGAAACCAAATGTCTTTAGCACCTGCCCAGTGGCTCTGGGAGCAAGGAAGCCCTCGAAGGGAGCTTACACTGTGCAGACACTGTGTGGTGGGGGCTGGGCGGGGGCCTGGGGGAGCCTGCACTCCCTCTCCTGACCATCTCTGGTCAGGTGGTCTCTCCCTCCTCTTCCTGTCTTGCCAGAGGTGCTGATGGGAGAGCCCACTGAGCCTCATTCAGCAACTCCTCCAGGGGGCCCTCAGGGATTATCTGCAACACTCTCACTCTCACAGCCTTTGAACACTCAGGTTTAGGCTCTGAAGGCCACACATGGCTTGTTAAGCTCTGTGGGCCGTGTGTCCTTGGGCCCTGGGGCACACTGACGTGCAGAGCAGGAGTCAGCAGACACACAAGCCCATGGGCTTTCCCATGGGAGCCCCTCCTGGACGGGGGTGCATCGCCTGGCTATTTCTGTGGTCTTTCTTCCCTTTCAGCCTTTAGCAGCCAGGTCACTGTCCTGTACACAACAGGGGCTCAATAAATGCCTTCTTGGACAGTATAGCATTGAGGTTCGTCAGAACTGGCCTGCCTGGGTTCAGCTCGCTTCACTAGCTGGGTGACTGTGGGCAAGGCACTGTACCTCTCTGAGCCCCGGTGCTCCGTGTCAACCCTGTGGCGTCATGAGCACATGTGAGCCCTGCAAAATGCATGTGCATGTCTGCTCTCCTCCTACTTCCGGGGCCGTCACGGATCTTTCTGGGAGTAAGGAGGGGACAATGCTTTGGTACGACTGGGAGGGTGATTAAGTGCAGTGACCGGGGGTCCAGCGCCGGCGGAGGAGGCGGGGCCTGCTTCCTTACACGGTCCTCAGGACGGAGCCGGCAGACCTGAGCAGGAGCATCTCTGGCATGGTCCCCGCGGGGCCGGGGCCTCTGGCTCACCCAGGACAGCGCCGGGACCGCAGGAAACTCATCAGCCCCGGGGGAGGCCCCGCTCCACCAGACCGCCCTGCAACAGAGACACAGCGTGTGTCACGGCGGAGGCCGCTTGGGCCCCAGGCAGGGCTCACCCACTCCGGGCCTGGCACCGGTCTCTAATCTGCTGCCTCCTGAGTCCACAGGCGACTAGCTTGAGAAACCGACCCGCCGTAGGCCTCTGTCTCTACTCTCAGGCGGGCCCGCTCACTAGGATGAGGCAAGAGACTGGACCCCCAGGCCTCCTGCTACGCAGAGTCTTCACCGCCCTTGGCAGTCCTCCCCAACCCTGTTCCCGATGTCCCTCTGCCCAGGGCGCTCAGAGAGCCCAGCTCCCAGACACCCAGTGTCTTCTGTGCAGGGCGTGGCCCAAACATTTCCCCAACCCTGAGAGGCCCAGGCTGGAAGCTGAGCCAGATCACCTCCAGGTGCCCCGCTCCGTGTCACACGGTGGGTCGCAGCCTGCCCAGGTAGCAGCTTCCTCACCGGCTCCTGGACCCCCGCCACAGCGGCCCACGCCCCTGGTGGCCTGTCTCACCTCGAAGATCAGTCCCGGCAGCTCTCTAGGGACCCGGCTTCCAGGCAGAGGACCGCGCCGAGGACTCTGGGCCGCGTGGGCCCAGCGGGCCTTCCCCCTCTATGTTTGCTGGTCCGGAGCGTGTGCCCGCGCCGTTGGCCAAGCCAGCCGTCGAGAGCTGGGAGCCCGCGCTGCTCCCGGTAATGAGGCGGCCGAGGCTGGGCGTGCTTGTGGGGACCCGCCCCGGACCGCCCGAGGCACCGGGGAAGGCGTGGCCGACACCTCCGACCCACCTGGCTCCGGCCCAGCGGCCCACCTGCAGGCCTTACATAAGCAGGTGGGAAGGCCCGGAGGGGCCTGCGGGGGCGGGCGGGCGGGCGGGCGGCCTGTTGGCAGCGGTCCTCGGCAGGGCGACATCGCTCTGCCACCGGGCCCTGCACCTGGGCCGGCCTGGGCCCCGCGGCTGCCGGAAGCGTAACTTTTCGTCCTGTTTTGTTTTGCCTTTTTAACCGTTCCGGAATGCACGACCGTGCCCAGGCTCTGTGTGCGTCGGCTCCCGGCGCCCTACCCGCAGCCCCGTGCCGGGGACTTGGGGACAGGCCCCACGGCCCGAGGAGGCACCTACACAGGCCCAGGTGCGCGGCGTCCGTGCGCAGAGGGAGGCAGAGCCGGACGGACGCCACGCCTCCCGGACCCCGCGCTGGAACCAGGACGCCACGGCACCGCTTGCACCCCATCTGCGCACCGGGAAGCCCCGCCCCCTGCCCCAGGATGACCTCGCGCCTGCGCCTTGCCCTCTGGTGCTCCTCCAGGGCTTGTCTCGGTCCAGGGACTTGAGCCTGAACCTTCTAACACCAGGGCCCCTGCTCCTTGGAGTTGCCGCCCCCCACCCAGGCACCCCTGCAGGCCGGGGATCCCTCACCCCTACTGCAGACAGCCCTACTGGGTGTTAAGGGGAAATTTTAAACCCTATGTGAAGGCCCAGGAGCAGGGCACAGCGGCCGCGACAGGGCTGGGCCGTTCCAAGGCCCTGAACCCAGTCGGAGGGCAGAAGACCCGCAGACCACTCCGCGGAGGGGGTGGGTCGGTGCCAGCGTACTCACTTCAAGAAAATTCTGCCCGTCACCAAATCCCAACTCTTCAAGTTCTCTGTTCCTTGCAATACGTGACCAGAGCCACCCGCGGATGCCCGGCAGCTTGGGTCTGCCGGTACTAGCCCCCAGCCTCCCACGGCTTCTCCCCGTCCTCCGCCCTGGGGTCCCCAGTGGACTTTGGAAACCTGTGCTCTGACCCAACCCCTGAGGACATGTCTCTGTCTCAGAGGATGCGCCTGGCTCTTGGCCTCCCTTACTGCTCTCCCGCAGAGGGCCAGGAGGCGATGTTAATCATTGGACTTGGTGCTGGGCATGCAAGTGGCTGGGAGCCGGCGGCAGAAAGTTCAAGGGCTGGCAAGAACCCCAGGCTTGGCTCTCTCAGCCCCCTGGGCAGCCTCATGTGCCCTCCCCTCTGGAGGTACAGTTTCTAAACTGATGAGGAGGCCAGGCAAATAGGCTTAACTCCAGGTTCGGGATGGCTGGGGACACGTGTCATCTTGGCCTTCCATCTCCTTGCAGTGCCCACAAGCTGGCCTGCCCACTGTTCTTCAGATCCCTCCTCTTCCAAGAAGCCCTCTGGGAGGGACCCTCCGGAGCTGCCCTGGCTGAGCCCTCCCAGAGCACTTAGCATAGAGGCTGGGTGCTATTTTAGTAAACATAGTTGTCTACCACGAAATAAAAATCTTAACTAAGCCCACATTCTCAGAGCTGATGTCTCCCTTCCGCGCGGCCAATGGCTCCAGGAGGGTCCTTTTCCCATGGTGACGACCGGCTTAGCAGCAATCTACGCAGACACTGCGGGGGCATGGGGCAGAGGGACCAAGATCCTGGCTCTGGCCTTGGAGGCTGAGAGATGGTGGCATTGACAGTCAGCAAACAGAGAAGCATTCAAGGTCACTGGGGTCACCAGACCCAGGCTGGGGCTGGGGTTAGAAAGTTGGCAAGGAGCGAAGGTTCGACTCTTTTACAAGTGTCCCAAGGCAATGGTGCAGTGGGGGAGGCTAGCCCCGAGGGGGAAGTGCCAAGGCCCTGGTGACAGGCCAGCTCACGGGGGACCTCGGTCAAGCAGAGGTCTTCTGGGGACCCACAGTCTCTCCGAAAGGTGAGGACAGGGCAGGATGGTGTAAGACACGTTCCGCGGACCTGGTGTCTGGGGCAAACGCCTGCGGCCTGAGCCCCTCCAGCAGTGGGAGTGGGTGTGGGAAGAGGCTTCAGCCTCCCAGGCTGGTCCCGGTCTCTTGGGTTGGCCCCTGCCGTGTTGGGTGGGGTCAGCGCCACCGGCCAGTTCACTTCTAACCCAGTTGGCGAGAGCAGCATGAAGAGCGCTGTCAGGACAGATCACAAAGCTGCTTAGAAATAAGTGCATCTATCCTCAGGCTCTGTTGCAAAACCCAGAAGGAGCTGGCAGGTAACCCGGTTGTGCCCGAGACAAAGTTCTCTGGGCCTGGGACATGTGGGTTCTAGCCTGGGATCTGCCTCGGCTGGCTGAACGTGGTGAGTCCCTGGTCCTCTCTGGGACTCAGCTTCCTCAGATACCGGGCCTTCCGATTTTCCATCTGTGACCGGATTTGGGTTTCTCACTGGAATTCTGCCGCCCTAGGCAGGGTCAAGGCCACAAGCCTCCGCGCTGCCAGGCCCCTCGGCCTGAGGGGCAGAGGGAAGGGGGTGACGTAATACACTTACTTAATAGCTGGTACCGGGCATCGTGCAGCACCTGTCGCCCGCCAGGCCACTCCGTCTGCACCTCATGCACATCGGCACGTCCGACCCGCAGGCAGCCCGATGAAGTGTCTCTCACTACCATTCTCCCTTTACAGACAAGGAAACTGAGGTACACAGAGATTTTTGTCACTTGCTCAGGGTCTCTTGGTTCGCAGAGTCAGGCAACAGATGCAGGCAGGTAGGTTTCAGAGTTTATACTCTTTTTTTTGTTTGTTTTTGAGAGAGAGAGGGAGGGACAGAGAGCGCCAGCAGGGGAGGGGCAGAGAGAGGGACACACAGGATTCGAAGCAGGCTCCACGCTCATCACGGACCCTGCCGTGGGGCTTGATCCCACGACCTCAAGGTCATGACCTGAGCCCAAACCAAGAGCCGGAGGCCTCACCGACCGAGTCACCCAGGTGCCCTCATTTCACTGTTTTTTTTTTTTTTTAAGTGCAAACTAACATGTGCGGAGGACTTAGCATATGCCAGGCACCCTTCCGATTGCTTTCCATGTATTAAGTCGTTTAATTATATCAATAATCCTATAAAGTAGGTAGCGGATTACAATATAACCCCCATTATATGGGGCTGGGCAAGCGCAGAGACAAAGTAATTTGCTGAGGGCGATACAGCTAGTCATCAGAATAGTCGGGATTCAAAGCCAGATGGTCTGACTCCAGATTTCGAGCTCTGAGGCACCACATGAGCTGCCTAACCTGGGGCTCCGGACATCTCTGTACACAGCTCGGCAACAGCAACAAGGGATTTCTCAGGGCCAACTGACTCAGAAAGGCAGAGCACCGTGGCCGAGACACTAGTTAAAGTCTTTGAATCGACGTACTCCTAACAGATCATCGCAATCTCCAACATATGACAAAAAATGACCAGACCTCTGAAAAAGCAAGAAACGTGAGCCAAAATCAAGACAAAAGGCAGTCAATAGAAACAAAGTCAGATATAATGTAGACGGTGCAGTAAACATGCAGGGACTTTCAAGCAGTTATCGACACGTTTGATAACTTAAAGGAACAAATGTAGACATAATTGATGAGCAGTGGAGGACTGCCCCATGAAAATAGAAAGGGTAAGAAGAGTACAATCTCCGAAATGAAGAACTTACCAGATGAGTCTAACAGATTGGAAACTGTTAAAAAAACTTTTGTGAACTTAAAGATAGAACAATAGAAACTTCTCAATCAAAAGAATAGAGGGGAAAAAAGAGTTTTAAAGTTAAACATGACAAACCGTTGTTGAAAAAAAAAAAAAAGAATTGAGATCTGAACAAATGTTAAGGCATCTGGAGATCAAGAGCCGTAACATTGTAAGTATGACAATACCCCCCTAAACTGATCTACAGGTCAACATAATCCCCATCAAACCCCAGCTGACGTTTTTTTGCAGAAATTAACAAGCTGGTCTAAAGTTTATATGAAAATTCAAAAGACCCAGAATGTCCGAAAACAATGTTGGGAAAGAACAAAGTTGGATTGATTTCAAAACATACCACACGCCTACAGTAATTAAAACAATGCCGTGCTGGTATAAGAATAAACACATTAGATAAATGGGGCAGAGTGCAAGCTCCTGAACCCAACCTCACAGTCATTTGGTTTTCACAAGGGTGCCAAGGCCATTCATGGGGCAAAGAATAGTCTTTGCAACAAATCATTCTGGGACAACCGAACATCCACACGCAAAAGAATGAGATCGGACCACGTCATACACACAGAAACTTAACTCAAAACATATCAAAGGCTTAACTGTAAGAGCTAAAACTTCAAAACTGTTAAAAGAAAATATAAGTCTATGCGGCCTCGAGTCAGGCACAGCGTTCTGAGATATGATGTCAAGGGTACAGGCAACAGAGGAAAACAGGTGAGTTGCACTCCATCAAAATTAAGCCTTTTGCGCTTCAAAGGACCTCACAAAAAGCAAAAACATAACCCACAGTGTGGGAGAAAATATTGGCAAATTATGTATCTGATAAGAGAAGTACACATAGAATATACAAAGAACACCGACAACTTGGTGATAAAATGACAAATCACTTGATGAAAACAAAGCAAAGGATTTCGACGGACATTTCTGCAAGGAAGACGCACAAATGGACCACGGGCACGTTAACTGGTGCTCCGCAAGGTCAGCCATCAGGAAGCGCAAACCCAAACCGCCGAGACACCACGCCACCCCCGGGGGCGGCCGTAATCAAAACGGCAGATAATAACAAGTGTCGCGAGGACGTGAGGAGTCAGAGCCCTCACACACGGCTGCAGGGAACAGTCTGGCAGGTCCTCAAAGGTTACACGATGACCCAGCGATTCCCTCCCTGCGCGGAGACCCAAGAGAAAGGAAAACGTGGCCAGATAAAAACTTATACATAGGCGCGCACAGCAGC